TTCGTAACGTCGTCGGAGGCGCGCTTCGCAACAGTGGTTGGCAGCTGCGGGATCGGCCGGCGTCAGCGACATCGATGCGGTGAGTGCCTGATGTTTTCTCCTCAGTTCACCAGGCTACTCTAGCTCAGGTTGTAGGTTGTAGTAGTTTAGAGAAGGGCTGTGTGAAGCATTGATGTGAGCTTTGATCGTTTCAAGCCAAGTCGAAGCGCTTTGAAACCAAAGTTCATGCGGAGGGGGTAAACACGGGAGTGTGAAAAATTGCTTGCGCGTCTTGCTAGTTGACTTATAGTGGGTACGGCAAGTAAATTGTTAACAGGGGCAAACAGCAAGAGGCTAGTGTGAACGATGGAGAACCTTAAAGTGAAGGAACTCATCGAAAATTGTGAGGAACTCGGCATTACTTTGGGCCGTGCGAAACGAAAGCAAGCGATCCTTGATATCATGAAGGATGAAGGAGTGTCGGCTGAGGAAGTCGATGAGGCCTGGGCGGATATCAAAGCACGCCGCGAGGAGGCTGAAAGGCGAGAAGTAGAAACTCGCGAACGTGAAGAAGCTGAAAGGCGCGAACGTCGCGAGCGCGAGGAGGCCGAGAGACAGCAGCGCCTCGAGTTGAAACGAATAGAATTGGCAATCCTACAGTGTTCGCAGGCGCCTAGCGTAGCTTCTCCGACGATTCAGGTCAGCGGTTTTAGAATTCGGGACCAACTGCCACCGTTCGTAGTAGGCGAGGACATGGCGAAGTATCTCGTCAAATTTGAAAACGTCTGTAGGCGAAACGCTTTGGAGCGGTCTCTTTGGGCGCAGAACCTGTTAGCTCTTCTTCCCGGCGAAGTGTCCGACGTGATAACTTGCTTGTCGAGGGAAGCGTTTGAGAGCTATGACGAGGTTAAGGAAGTGCTCTTGAGACGTTATAAGTTGTCGCCCGAGGCTTTCAGGCAAAGGTTCCGGTATGCTAAAAAGGGGAATGAGTCACACGTTGACTTCGCGTTTCGTCTTAAAGCCGATTTAATTGAATGGCTCAAGGGCGAAGGTGTTTATGACGACCGCGATAAAGTGGTGGAATGCGTTGCATTGGAGCAATTCTACCGCTGCATCGAGGAGGATGTCAAACTTTGGCTGCAGGACAAACTTGGGGAAGCACAGCTAAACAAGGCAGCAGAGTTAGCTGAGGAGTATTATACTCGCCGAAAGTTGCATAGCAGGGCAGTGCGCGTGGAAAATGATGAAAGCAAAGAGGGCTTTTCAAAGAAACCTGATCAACGAAAACCCGCTCCATACCGTAATTTCAAGAGGGACCCGTCTCTTACGAAGGACACTGTAGGGGAAGGGCAAACGGAAGCGGAGAAATCGAGGGAGGTTCCTAAACAACGCACTGATACCAAAAGGGCGTTTGAATCACGGAAGCCGCTAATCTGCTACAACTGCAAAAAGGAAGGGCACATCGCGATAAACTGTAAGCAAAAGTTTGCTTTTGCAACAATCCGAGAATCAGAAAAGAACATGCGGTTGTTGGAGCCGTATATCCAAGAAATTAGTGTGAATGGGCAAACGTATCGAGCAGTTCGAGACTCAGCGGCAACCATGGATGTTGTCCATCCTTCATTGGTGTCTCCGGATGACTTTACAGGAGAATGCGCGTGGATCAGGCAAGTCACCGAGGAGCAGAGTGCTTGCTTACCAATCGCCACGGTTGTCATTGAAGGCCCGTTCGGTAAGCTTCGCACCGAAGCTGCTGTGTCTGCCGCGCCTCCCGATCGTTTTCCTTATCTTTTCTCCAACAACTCAGAGCAGCTTCTCAAAGAGCAGCGTAAATCGTTCTTCCCCAACTTAGCGTACATGGCCCTCACGCGATCGCAAGCGCGGACGCTTTCACAGGAGCTTGATCTTGTTCAATGCGGTGAACTCTCAAGTGACCTTGTCGGCGGGTCGACGGAACCTCACAGAGGAAATTTTCTGCGTGAGTCATATGAGCAGTCACGCGAGCGGCCCGTCGCTGAAGTGACCGGCGCGGTTTCCGTAGCAAGGGGAGACGACATGGCACCATTGAATCAGAGCGAGAGGGGCGCAACGCTCTCGCCTGTAGCGGAAAGTAGGAGTAAGCTGTCGAGGGTTGATCCAGAAACGCTCATTCGAGAGCAGCGTGAGGACCTCTAGATTAAAGCGCTAGTGGAAAGCCACAAAAACGCGGCACAAGTGCTGTCGAAGGAGCACTTCGAGACATCGGCGAAGAAGCGCGCTTTTGAAGTAGGAAGTCAGGTAATGCTGCTGCAGCCGTCCAAAAAGCACAAGCTTGAGGTTCATTGGGAAGGGCCCGCCAAAGTATTATCGAAGCTTTCCGACACCAATTATGAAGTGAAATTAGGAAGGCGGCCGAACAAAATTTACAACTTGAAGAAACCATACGTTCAACGTCAAGCGGTCGTAAATCAGCTGTTGAATGCTTCAGAGAAAAAGGAAGCAGAAATTTTGAGTTTTAGTGATATAATCGAAAGGGAATCGGAGGTAACCTTGCAGCAGTTGAACCTAGTGCCTAGCTTATGTGAAGTCCAGAAGGAGGACCTGAGAAAGATTGTTTCCGAGTTTGGAGACGTGTTTTCGGACCGCCCCGAAAACACGAGGGTTATCGAACACGATATCGAGCTAAGCGGTGAGGAGTCAATCCGTAGCAAGCCGTATCGTTGTTCCCCTGTGCAACGTCGCAAGTGTGAGCCGCTCTTGGTGCCGCATAGGTATTGTCGCCTAAAAGTGGCCGGTTACTGAGATGGAGCATGTTGCTCCACAGCGCAACTTTGACGTTCGCTAAAAAAAAGGGGGGGGGGGGGAAGCCTAACGCTAATGCAGGTGCATTGAGCAGTGCGTTCTATCTAGTACCTTCTCAACCTTTCGGTTTCTCGCTGGCGATTCGGGGCAAAATTTTGACCTCATCACGACCTGGGCTGAGCGCTCTCGTCCAGAGTGAGCTCAAGGAGCCAACTTTATGTTCTATTCTAATTTGTTACGTTGTTGTACGTGAAAAAATTTGAGTTTTATTTTAAGAGTCTTGTGTCCCACATTTGCCTCTTGATGTAGATGTAGAGGGACCGAAATTCCGATAGACACGTAGCTAGGTATATGTTGTACTATATTTTGTCTGGTGTTCTGTCGGGTGACCGAGGGCACTTGCTTGTGTCGTGTGTTGTCTGTTGTCGAACCGTTCTTGGCAAGTTGCAGAACCATCGACAAGTGCTGAAACCAAGGATCGTCAGAGACGAGCGAAGCTGGCCGGCAAATTGTGGCGACAAGCCAGTGGAGCTGGGATCCATCCTCAAGAATGGGATGTGTTCCCGGAACAGAGTCTGGAGCTGCATTCTCCCCATGGGCCTGGAGGCGAACCTGGAGGGACCTGGCGAACGAGCGCGCCTGACATCCGAGCCACGTGGAAGCAGCTCGTCTTTCCGGCGCATAGTCTGGCGGCGGGGGTGCTGTTATGCCTGCGAGTCGACAGCGAACGTCCGTGCCTCTGAAAAAGGCAATCTGTGTCAAGGCCAGCCCGCGAGCCGCATGACGCGATCAACAACTCAACGGCGTCATCACGCCACGGCGCCTTTCTGGCGCGCACGTGCAGTGAGTCATCTCAGCCGCGAGCCCGTCGAGTAAACAACCGGCGTCTTCCTGTCTGGCAGCTGACGCAATGCGCGGCGACGTCACTCGTCCTTGGGTGCAGCCACCTGCAGCGCAGCCTCTCCAGATTCGATGAAAAAGAAGGACGTGGCCCAGCGGCGACCTCATTGGAGGATTCTGACCTCGCGACCAGCGGCGCTTCGGGTTGGACATTTGGGTTGGACCCGGGGCATATAAAAGAAGCCCTGCGTCGCGTCGAGAGAGACCCCCTTTGACAGCAGACCCATTTGAGAGTAGAGCTATGTGTTAGAGAGAAGAGCTCGGCTCTTCGCGTCTCTGTCGGCCCCAGTGCCGAATTTGTAACACCTCTGTATATATGCTGTACATAAACCATGTTTAACTCACCGTCGTCTCGTCCGCTCGTCTATCAGCTCTGCGCAGAAGCAGTCGCGAGCTGAGAAACCTACGCTACCAAACGGCTGGTGACCTTCCCGGTGGAATTCGAAGCAGTGGCGCCTTCGGGTCCGTGTTGGCGTCGCCGTCGTTCGCAACAAGGTCATAGCTGGAATCAAACCCAAGCATTCTGCGTGGCTATGAAGCATTTTAGCGCAGAGCTACGCCAGGTCTCGGAACTTCTTTTGAAATAGACGCTAACTTTCGTAAAACGCCAGTTGTGGTTGCAGTGCTGCCTACGCAATTTTATAAACATTACTTTGATACAGCCGTCACGTCGCGTTAACGTTAATTGTGGTTACTTGCCATGCGCTGAAGTTGATTTATGTAGCAGTGGCTAGGGCCAGCAACTTCACGAGCATCTGCACTTCGTATCAGCTTGGTTGCTAATACGCATGTTCCAGTTGGCATCGTTGCGTAAGTGCAAACTACTGCTGGTTATATGAACATCTGCAACTCTTCAACATATCTGTGTGTACAACGTATGTACATAATTTTAGTGTCATTTCATGACGTGTCGCTCAATAAAAAAATTGCAACACGGTCACCTTCCCGTTGCAGGCTCCGCATAACATCGATTCCTAATTGCATGGGATCTGCCGATTTTTTTTTTTTCATTTTCCCCCAAAACACAGAGAGCGACCGAAATGTGGCAGACTCGTGAACGTTAAGAATGCTAGATTCAGTATAAAGCTATAAAAAAATCGCAGCTCTGCTGCATTCTCTGTGAACGAGCTGGGTAAGGACGGGGTATCTAAGAAATTTCTTCTGTGATGGGGGCCCACTGTTTTAGCGCCATAGTCCAGGTGTTCTGATATGTGAGCACACGCATATTCATATAAACGCTCAGCTGAAACGCGTATCTTGGTATCTTGCATGTCACCAATTTTACCTTCGGGTATATTTGTTGAAGTGATCAGAAAAACTTCAAGCAAGTGATATTATTCAGTGTTGAATGGAATAAACTTTATTGGCATAACTTGAAACTCAATGCCTCGCCTGGCAGACACTAAAATGAAGCAACTGTTTTCTAGTGAGAATGGTCAAACAGGCGAGTGAGGGTGGCGCACGTTAACCAGTGACGCCAGTTCTCGAGGAGCGTGAAAAATACTAAAAAGGTGCATCGTTTTTATTGTTCGGTAAAATAACAATGGTCATAAACTATTAGTATGATGAGGAAGTGGCGGGTGGTGTTAGTATTCTAGAAAGAGCACTTCAAGGGGTGCCTTTCAAGTCATTTTACGTTATTGCGCAGTACATTATTGCTGGGACATAGTAACATTTGCGGCATTTCGCGCCTTCATGAAGATGGTGCTGTTCTTCCAGTGCTCTTGGATTATGTCGGCAGCCTTCTCGGCAATCATGATGACGGGCGCATTCGTGTTTCCGGACACGACGCTGGGCATGATGGAAGCATCCACAACCCGCAGATGGTCTATTCCTTTGACCCTGCAGCAATAAAAAAAGAAGGAGGATTTATATAGTCAAGAGTCCGACAGAATCTCGTATGGTCGGAGACAAACATAGTGCCAAATAACAAAAACAAAAACGCCGACCAAGGTGAAATACACAAAACTTAAAAAGACGTTTCGGCTCATCACACGGGAACCTTGTTCACAGTGACCGCAAGTGGCGTATTGCGCTCTTCTTATGCATGTTTAATCGCGTGTTGCAGACATCGCGCGTACACAGGGGGGAGTGTCCCAATATTTCTGTTTAACGTATGCACAGTAGTTTGAGTGGCCAGAGATTCCATGTGCAATCGCGGTAACAACTTTCTTTCCGTGGCAATGATGCAGTCTTTATCCCAGTCGATAGCGTGCCCAGTAGACACATGTTCTGCGAGGGAATTAGAAGCTACTTCCTTGTTCTTGACGTCATTAAAATGTTCCCGGGGCCTTCTTTTGTAATTGCCCGTTTCGCCAATGTATCCGTATTCACAGTCTTTGCAAGAAATTTTATACACCACGCCGGGAAAAATTATATCAGTCCAACTTATCTTTGACATTTGTTAGACGGCCTCGGTGCTTTCGTGTTGGAACGTGAGCCACTTGGACGTCGTAGCCGCGCAATACTCGAGCGAGGGTCTCACTGAAGCCTGGGACGTAAGGCACCGATGCGCGTTTTCTTGTAGCAATGGTGCGTGACTGAGCCGGACGCTGCAGTTGTCGCTGCACCGAGTTCTTGAAGGAAAGTGGGTATCCGCAAGTAGCCAGCTCCCGTCGAACGGACTCAACATCTTTTACTGCGTCTTCATCCTTAGAACAAATCCTCCAAGCGCGCTTTACGAGTGTAAACACAACAGAACGTTTATGGCAGGATGTATGCACAGAATTGAAGCTAAGAAAATGACCGGTGTGGGTTTTTTTTTCTGTACACAACGAAAGTCAGGCGCCTACCGTCTCGTTTCACGAGGACGTCAAGAAATGGAAGGCAGCCGTTTGATTCTTCTTCCACGGTAAACTGTATCGCGGAATTTAGCTATTCCAAGAATACTGGCTGGGCATCTCGTTGCAAAACACAAACAATCATCCACATATAGAAGGAAAGTCTTGGGCGGGGTAGCAAATGAAGTGAGAGCCCGGTTTTCAACAGCCTCCATGGTAAGGTTTGCGACAGTGACGGACACAGAAGATCCCATTGCAGTGCCATGCACCTGCTTGTAGTATTTGCTCCTGAATATAAAGTAGGTGTTCTCCAAGCAGAACTTAAGGAACCGTAACAGATCAGGAACATCGATGGGCGTTCTGGCCGACAATGATTGGTCTGACTCAAGGGCTGTCTTGCACACGTCGATTGCCAGACCAACAGGTACACTTGTAAAAAGTGACATCAAAAGATGCTGAAACACCATTGTGATCTATTACCGTGTCGCGTACTTTATCAATGAAAAAATTGGAATTCCTTAAGTGCGTTTCACTTTTTCCAACGAGCGGCGAGAGGGTCCTGTGTAGGTAAGCTGAAAGCTTGTTCAGAGGCGACCTTGTAAAATCGACAATCGGGCGGATTGGGACACCTGTCTTGTGAATCTTAGACAGTCCATACATAGCTGCCGCTGATCCATTGTTACAAAGAAGAGAGTAATATAAAGACTTTTGTGTAGGCGGCACGAAGCGAAAGACGTCTGCTAGCAGCTTTTGGAGGTCCCTCTGAAGTTTTGCTGTTGGGTCGCTATTTAGTGGAAGGTACGTGCTGGCATTTTCGAGGAGGGCGTTAATCTTTCTCACGTAGTCATTCGTGTCGAGCAAGACAGTAGCGTTGCCCTTGTTCGCATGAAGTATTACAATGTCTTTATTATTGCGTAGTGACTTCCCCGCCTGAAGTTCTGCTGAGGTCAGAGGGGAAGGCTGCATATGACGAAGTGAAGAGAGCACAGACACAGCACGCGTACGGGCTTCGTCTCTACGAGAAAGTTCTGCGAGGCTTACAGCGTTCTCGATGGCGCAAATTATCTTCCCACGGTCTGTTTCAGGGCCCGTATTGAAATTGAGTCCCAGATTTAGGACCGCAGTCTCAGCGACGTTTGGCTTGTAGGAAGAAAGGTTATGCACAGTGCATTTGCCTGGTGCACGCGCACCCTTCGCATGTGGCTGTTGTAAGCTAGCCAGGTTCTTTTCGTGCGATTGTTCACAACGACAGCTCTGAAGCATGGCGTTCAAATTCGCGTGTAGCTGAATGCTCGCGAATTCGTCCGGGCACTCGAATTCAATGCGGCGCTGGGCAAAAAAGTCATCATTTTCCAGGTTCGTATCCGGTTTTTGCAATCTAAAATTCTTGATTGAAGCACCTGTCGCTCTGCCTTCGAAAGGAGGTTTTAATTGGGCGCTGCGATAGGTTTGCCAAGATTGCTTCGCATTACATTTTACGTTATGCACTGAATTATTGCTACAAAACCATTACAATCTTTAAATTTTCACGTGTCATCAAGCTTTTCATTCATTTCGTGTTTAACCCAACAAGTGACAGTGCTGATGTAGGGAGCCAAATGTCGAGAAAAAAAAATGTACAAACTAGGAAGCGTTAAGCGCTAGATGTTACTGTCTACATAATAAATCAAACTGTTTTATGCACATAAAATTACTATAAACAGCGTAGTGTTTCTTGCGTTTTTATTGTTAAAATTTTCATTAAAAACGTGTGTTGCACTCAACAAGAGAACCTAATTTTCTTTTGTAGTGACATTAAAAATAGCTTTTGCCGTACAATGAACTACAATTGAAGGAACCGCTTGAATTTTAGGAATATAGCGATGAAATAACCAAAATTTGGCCGAACAATGAACTAAAATTAAAAGGACAATTTGAATAACATGAGTATAGCAGTTAAATTACTAAACACCTATGCATTAGCACTAGGCGCACCTGCGTTGACGGGCAGCTGTATTACACCATGTGACATGTTCTTACTTGCTGAAGTTCACTGCACATCTGATGTGATGAGGATGGGTGTCAAGTTTGAATTAAAATCTTTATTAGCCAAAAGTCACGCGTGTTCAGGTAAGCTACAAATGCCAAAATATAACATTTACTTATCGGCTAGTTGGTTCGATATAATTGTAAAAAAAGTAGTGCAATAAGATGGAAGGGGGTACATGACACTGTAACTTGAACACAGCTTTTTCCGGTCACTTAGAGATGCATTGCGCAGATTGTGGTTGCGTTCCACGATTTGAAGTGGTTTTGTCGTAGTTACATCGTGACCACGGTAACAATAAACAACATGGACAGAAAAGAGCGCCGGCATTCAACTTGATTTATTGAAGCTGCTACGACCGCTTTTATAAAGTGTGCAAGGTCAGTGTTTATGCATGACTATGCATAACATTTTCAACTCAGAAAAATTCTCTGGTGAAGCTGAAGTGATCATGTACTGATACATTGATTTGTAACATTCCTGACAAAAATATTTCTAGAATTTCTATTTCATTCGTCGTTCTCACTTTTTTTTCAAATACCTTGTTTCGTGTATTGGAGGACTGCACTTACGTTCTGCGTAGTCTACAGCCACGTGCCTACCATATCCATTCTTGAACTACATGCACGCTTTCTCGCTTGGTCATAAAAGCATTGCCCTTCTTGTCCTATGTATATCTTTCCCCATGTCAACAGTCATCACTTGCATCGCACGTCATCGCTTGCATTGAAATGAAGAAGCCCGTAGTTTCATTCAGCTCTCTTAATTCACCTATATTATTGAGTTCGGGATGTTTTTAATGTGTGTGCGGTAGGTGGACTGTCTCTATAGTGGCAGCTAAACATCGGGAAGTCGGTGTTTCACTGCGGATCGAGTTCAAAATTGGCCCTCAGCGGTTGCTCCTCAAATTGCCCTTCAAAATTACTCCTTTCGTTGTCCTCCATACCTGGCACAAGCCCGGGTATGGAGGACAACGAGACGACGCTAGTGTCAATCGGAACGCCACTTGTCCATCCCGCTTGGCTTAAAGTTGCTCCAGGCTCAGAAACTATGGCGACGTCCTATACCAAGAACAGCGAGGTTTCACAGTTTAAGGACAGGCGTACAGAGGAGGATGAAGAGGTTGACAACGAAAAGGAAGACTCGCCAACTCCTCTGGCCTCAAGGCTGTGGCCAAGGAATGAGTAGTGTTGTTTAATAGAGCTTTCATAGTTTTTCAGAGTGCAATAGCTCGTTGATAATTGTATTTCTGCAGTTGGGACTAGGCAGGACGCTCTATTATTGAGTGGGACCAGGAACTTTTCTTTGGTCTGCTTTTATTCCTGCGCAGGAGTTACCAGTGGTTGTATTCTTGCGCAACGGCATATCACATGCTAGTTCATATGTTAGTTCATTCGTTCATTCGCATGTTAGTTCATTAGTTCACACCAATTAAGGTATCATTCGGTTCGAAACACCGAAAGCAATACAAACTGAATGGCGGTCGATGACAGCTCATTTCCAATCCATCACCGAGGCCCCCCAATTCGGCAGAATGGGTATACTCTGCTTTTTTCCCGACCATTCATGCGTGCAAAATCTTCTGAAGTGCTCGATTTTCGACATAATCTGGTGAGATTGTTTTTTTTTTCACCACATTTAGCATGCTCCATGGGTTTAGTGCGTGGCGTCAACGTGAACGTGACAGCAAGGGAAATTCGAGAACTATTGTAGGTGTTATTTCAGTTTATGGGTGCGCACTTGTTGATGATAGGAATAAAATACCAACCGTGTCCGTCATAGTGGCATTTGTGGGGGCAGTCCGGCCATGAGAAATTAAGGCATGGCCTCTCATGTACCAAGTCAAAGCTTCCTTCCCTCGCCATCGTCAATACGTAAAGGACTGGCGTCATGGACACATCTTAAAACGTTGCAGGTCTCCTGTCAGCTGCAGAGTATGTCGAAAAGGGCGCAATTCTAACGAGTGTCAGAGTAACAATAAAATGTGTTGCTTATGTCAGGAAGCCATTGCTGCAGACTTTTTCAAGCGGTCCTGC